TATCTGGACTCAGTGATTATCGTGCAGAGCAATTTAATTCAACAATTTAATGTATATATATATAATATAATTCATTTAGTGGTTTGGCAAGAACAGCAAAGACATTCTGTAAAAATCCAGATTACACTGAGTTGTTTTTTAAATTCTCTATGTTTAAATAAAGACACTGTAAACATGTGTCTCGGTATCAGCAGGTTTCCAGAACTGACTCTGTGGTGAACCTTAAACTCTAACTTGCATTTCTCTCATGTTTGCCTTCACCTTGTTTAACTCTGTGTTCCCTGTGCCTCGGGTTCATCAGCCTCATCTATTTCCAGTCCGTCTGCCTCGTCCAGCACCTGCTCTGTTTGCCTTTTCCACCCGATATTCCCTCTGCCTGACCCCACTCGACTGTTAACTGTGGCTCAGCTCCACAATTCTTGGCTGAATGAAACATTTCACGTAAGCTGCTTTCGGACATGCGCTTGACTCTGGGTGTTTTTCCTGAAATTTTCCGGAAGGGCAGTATGTGAGAACGCAGATGTCCGAGTCAGTGCCTCTGGTCGCTTTTCCTGCAGCCCCCTGGTAAAATGTCCAAGCACATGTGAGTATGGAGCAAGTAAATGTCTGGAAAATTCATAGCAAAGAAGACGTCAACTTGAAAAGACAAAGAGATTCAAGGGCTTTTGGTGATAAGGGCCGACACCAGTGTGAATGGAATTGCCCCTTGTCTGTGTCGGACACGAATGTGGAAGGACGTCAGCATCAAGAGCACAGTGCTGCCTATGCTGCAGACCGGATGCATGATAATTACCACTGAGGTGTTGCTTCGAAAGCTTATTCTGACAGAGGAGCAAGTAATGACTAAGCTTGCATATCACACAGGTGGCTCCACAAGGCCTCTACACCTGTGTGATATCTCGACCGCAAGGTGCGTATAACTGATAACTCGTGATGCGAACGAATGCACGAATCGGACACTATCGGGATTGAGTGAAATGAAATGTGCAGCCACCTCCTGTAATTCTTCATGGGTGGCGGTTTACGAGGGGGTCACCAGGGGATGCTAATTTGATTTGTCTGACCAATCACCCAATAGGGCGGCTTATCCATGACCGCTGAACCTGTCAGTTTTCCAGTTGGCTGATCAGGGCGAGAACCTTCACTTGACCCCCCTCAGCCTGTATGGTAATGTCATATGTGTGGGGGAGGGGGCGCTGGTCGGGGAGAACGACGTTTACTGGGACGATGCAGCATGAGCTCAAGGCCATTGGCCGCTGTGCATCTTGTCATGTCCAGAATATAAACCTGTGCCCTTGAAAGAACTTGGAAAAAGGAAGTTGATTAAATCATTTCATTTTATTATTTTATTTTAAATATATGTGCAACAGTAAATGTTTTCATTATTCCTGATGTACGAGAATCGTTTCTTCTATTAGCCACTCCTATGGGAGGGTGCGTGGGCTTGGCAGTTTTGGTTGGTTGGTCCAGACTGAGATATATCAACAACTTTTAGATGGATTTCCCTGAAAAGTGTGCACAAGCATTCATGGGCTCCAGAGAATGAATCCTGATGATCCCTCGCTTCTCGTCTGGTGCCACCAGCAGGTGAAACTAAACAGCTACAGGACGGATGGGTGCAACATTTGGTTTTAACATTCTTCCCACACAATGAGTCCTGATGGCCTTTGTGATTGTGATGCACATATTTCTTGTTTTGAATGAAATATACCAACAGCAGTTGAGAGCTGGTCAGAAATCAGTCCAGTCTGCACGCTCTCACCCTCGGGTACGCGTGGGATGTGCGTTAGCATTGCTACTTCTGGTAGCGGACATTTAGGCTAAAAACACGATATTGTGCATAGTGGTAGAGTAGATAATGAGAGAATTTGATTTATTTATTTTCTCCATCTACTGATCTACAGTCTCTAACAAACGGCGAACACATGCGTACGTATGTGGAGGACGTGGATTATCCCGTGCCAGGTATAGTTGATAAAAGCAGGTAGAGAGTAAACGGGATTTCCTGCTCAGACTCCAAAGCCTCGTGAAAGCATGCAGGGGTTTACATGGAAGTGCTGCGATCAGAGCTCTGCCGCTCAATTAGCTACTGTAGGTTGGGGGGGCGGAGAGCGAGCAGAGGTCCAAATCCTCTCTTGCAGGCCAAGCTGCGAGGATTAAGAAGGTTCCTGTCCCATGGCTGACCTCTTCAAAGCCTGCGCAGATGTCCTGATCCCCCTCCACACACACCCACCACTCACCAACACTCACACACACTCAAACCCCCCCCCACCCGCCATCTCCTCGAACTCTCTCTTGACCCCACAACCAAAACAAAGCACTCAGGTGATATCTCTTATCACGAGAGCACTCACCAGCTCTTTGAATTGGTATCTCTGGTATCTCCCCTGCAGTACGTCTTCCTCGCTCCTCCTCCCGCCGCAGAGAGGGGTCCGTCCCCGTGTCGCCTGGTCCTTTGGCAGTGGGCACGGTCGGAATTTTCTGAATGAGCGTGGAAATTAGTCCGTCATTCCTCACACTCTACTGCCCCTTGGATGCAGGGTGTTTTCAAATTGGGAGCCGAGGTCAAGAGACACCGGCAAAGACAATGAGCGAGTCAGAGAGCGACTTTGAATGACAAATCTCAGCCAAAGTAGGAAACACACCCTTTATATGGAGATCCCTAAGAGGGTCCCTGAGGTCGCCGGTGGTCCTTAAAGGTTACGACCCCTTTTTAGGGCTGTAAGTCATGTCTTGATCAAAATAATGGCCACCCAATTGGAGCTTCATTTAGAGCCAAGAGGGGCCTGATGGACAATGGATGGATTAAATCATGATAACAGCCAAAATCCAAGATTATTTCAATCATTAAAGACCCTCAAAGATTCCGTCAGAATAATCCAATGTGAGATTAGGTGTTAAAATCATTCTTTTCCGTATTAGAGTCTTCGTTGGTGGCCTAAAACCTGTTTTACAGCTAATAACTAGATACTACATTCCTCCGCCGAGGGCCGACAGTCCCCTCACTGAAATTCACTGGATACAGACTTTTATTTGGATCTGCACCAAATTCCCCACACTCATAAATATCAGTCTCCTAAACGTGTCTGATGTCTCCGATCAAGATCTGTGAATTAAACGGAAACTTCTGAAAAACACTCTTTATCAAAAAGTTAAAGAAAGTTTTAACTCGTGTTCCATAACACGCACACACACAGGAAGTAGAATACCCGGATGTAAATGACACCTGTATATTTTCAGACACCATCTCCGTCCTGTCAGCCGACAGCTCCTCATCGTCCAATCTGTCCATCTTCCATTTCCGCTGTCGCTTCTGCATTCATCGCCCCCCCGTGCCGCACCGTCCCTTGCATTTCTGCGTTCTTCCTCATTCCTTCCATCGCTCCCTCCCTTCCCCTCATTACCCCCCACCTTAGCGCGAGGCTGTCAGAGTTTTAGGGATCCGGTGAGCTGTGAAATCGCACAAATTGCTGTTGCTTTGCGTCTGGCCCGGCAACAGAGGGGGGAGATAGAGAGAGTGGGAGAAAGAGAAAGAGAGAGAGAAGGATTTTATGCTTCAACACTTCTGAACCTGAATCCCCCCCCCCCCCCCCCCCCCCCCCCCCCCTCCCTCCCTGCCCCTTTCTCCCCTTATTCACTCAGACATGGACAAGCACACGCACAGCTGCAAAATCTACAGACTACAGTCCAAACACCCCCCTCAACACACACACAGAGTCAACTTCCCCACCCCCCTCCATCACCACCACCTCTGAACATGTAACCACACCACCGCCCTCGCCATCCTCACGGTGAAGACACCTCCACCACTTTGCTTCAGCGTGCGGGTCACTTCACAGAACAACTCGACGAGAGGCTGCAGCCCTCGAGAGGGATAAAAGTCCCTCTCAACCTGAGGAGAGCTGTTTCAGTCACCTCGACTAAAAAGAGCAAGGTCCCCCCACTCCCAACACACACACACACACACATGCCCCCAGGAACACACACAAAAAACTTGCAAAAGGTCACAAACGTACATGTTGTAACTGTTTTTTCACTCTTTATTATTTATGTAGTTTCTTGTTCGAGCCAACAAGTAGGTGGTGACAGTTGTCCTGACCTCTGCTGCGTTATTTTCGAACATCATCATTATCAGTATTTATTACTTATTATCGTGACTTTTACTACAGCAGTAAAAATGTGTTTGTTTGATTTCCACAGCACTTGGTGGAAGGATGAGGGGAAAAAAACCTGTTCAATTTTAAATCCGGATCAGGGGCCGGATCTTCACTCGCTCTTTATCGTCTCTTAATTGGCTTCCTGTAACTTTTAGAATTGATTTTAGATTTGATTGCTGACTTTTAAGAGCCGTTTTGGAATTCCACTGAGATAGATTTCAGATCTTTTGACACCACGTGTGCCCGATCGTAACCTGAGGTCTTCAGCGCAGGCCTGAGGACCAGAGGGGACCACATCCCCTCTGTGGAACAGTCTTCCTGAGAAACTCCTTATCCTCTTTTAAATCTCTCGAGGAAACCAGGTGCACTCTCTCCGGATTCTGATCTTACCGTCTGTTTTAATAGTTTTATGATTGTTTTCTTTTAATCCTGCGTTTTGTGTGATCTTAAAATTGACGACTGATTACTTGGAATTGAATTGTTTCTTATTCTTTATTTTTTTTATCAGCTTCCTCTTGTTTGACTTTAATTTCTCCATGTTTTTATTTATTTGTATTTAATTTGTATTTAATCAGGCAGTCACATTGAGATCAAGATGTATTTTTATGAGACCTGAAAACAAGAAACATTCACAATCAGCAACAAACAAGTACACACAAGTACACACAAGTACACACAAGTACACACAAGTACACACAAGTACACACAATCAACAACACGTTAAGGTAAGTAGTTCCTGGATCTTGTGTTTTGAAAAGGGCAAAATAAATAAAGTGTATAATAGTTATTACTACAGTATTTTAGAGAATTTAATGTTTTAGTGCAGAACTGATCCACACTCCAATCCACAAGGTGGCGGTAATGCGCCCATAAAAAAATCTCCATTAAACAAACAGAAGGAGAACTGTAGCTACTCTGCCATGCTAACAGCTAACAGAAGAAGATGCTACTTGGCTAAACTCTTTTAGGTCCTTGTTTTTAAAAACACATCCATGTGGTTGTTTAACAGCAGTAAACTACTAGTGACGTTAACTCGGTGCCGGGGACTATCTCTCTCCCAGTTGGTCTTTGCTGCATTTCCGGGTAAGTTAGCTTGCTAGTTAGCTAGCTGGCTAGTTAGCCGGTGTTATTGTCTCCAGGATGGAAGCGTCCACCGTCACAGTCACAGTCCAGAGTCTGAGGCAGTTCATCGGCGAGAGATTAGCCGCCGCCGCCGCCGAAATACTCGGAGTTTGTGAAACGACCATCGCGAAGTACGAGGATGAAATCGACCGTCAGCGCAGATTGTTTGACGTCATCTGCAAACCGACGTTGAGGCTCCACAGAACAGGTGAGTGGATTAAAAACTCCACGCGTGTGTTCCCGCACACAAGGTGTTGGTCTGAACACGTGTTGTGTCTCCTCCAGAGCTCCCACGGCAGCAGGGCTGCAGCGAGGAGAGCAGCCTCCGAGAGGAGCCAGAGCCTCCGCAGATTAAAGAGGAGCAGGAGGAGTCCTGCAGCAGTCAGGGAGGAGAGCAGCTTGTCCTGAAGCTGGAGGACGATCAGGAGAACTTGCAGCTTGTTTTGAAGCTGGAGGACGATCAGGAGAACTTGCAGCTTGTCCTGAAGCTGGAGGACGATCAGGAGAACTTGCAGCTTGTCCTGAAGCTGGAGGACGATCAGGAGAACCTGCAGCCAGTTACTAACAAGGAGAGTGATCGGGAAAGCCTCTCGTTGAATCCTACTTCTGAGGAAAGTCCCCACACGGAACCAGAACCCAGTGACTCCTGTCTCGTCTCTCAGGACTCTCCTGCAGCTCAGAGCCAGGATCTCAGTCAAGGCACACATGCAAGGCTAAGATCAACCTCACGTGAACAGCCGGCGTCAGATAAGACACGTCGCATCCTCAGAAAGCGGATAAAACGCGACATCCAAAACTGCAACTCCCCCACGTCAAACATTTCCTCGAATAACTGCAAGGTTGAAAAAGTTTTTAAGTGTGGCACTTGTGGCAAAGCCTTTAAATGGAAGTGCCGGTTAATAAAACACGCGAGGGTCCACACCGACGAGAAGCCGTTTTCATGCAAAACATGTGGGAAAGGTTTCAAATTTCGGGGAAGCGTGAAGATCCACATGAGAGCGCACACAGGAGAGAAACCTTTCTCCTGCGACACGTGCGAGAAGAGTTTCGCGTTAAGCAGTAGCCTGAAGATCCACATAAGAACGCACACAGGCGAGAAACCGTTTTGTTGCAAAATATGTGGGAGAACTTTCACATTTAGCGGCAGCTGGCGGACACACGTTAAAACGCACACAAACGAGAGACCGTTTTCCTGCAAAACGTGCGGGAAAAGTTTCACATCCACGGGAGGTTTGCAGTATCACGTGAGAACGCACTCAGTTGAGAAGTCGGATCCTTGTGCGATTTGTGGAAAAACATTAAGCAGCAGGTCGCAGCTGAAGTTGCATTTGAGAATCCACACAGGAGAGAAACCATACTCTTGCAAAACGTGCGGGAAAGATTTCAGATTCTCCAGTTTGTACAGAAACCACATGAGAACGCATTCGGACGAGAAGCCGTTCGTTTGCAACATCTGTGGGAAAAGATTTGCTCAGTTGTCTTCGTTAAAACTGCATCAAAATAGCCATCCTGATAAAAAAGCTGCGTTCCTGCAGAACATGCGGGGAAATCTTCAGAACCGGAAGTGAAGCGGAAGCCCACACTCGACACACCCACCCTCACCGGGAGCTCGTCCCCGTAGTACCGCTCAGTCAACGTTCTCTCATGGTTCTCAAGGTGAAAGCAGTTTGAGGCGACAGAGAAACATAGACTTGTTTTTAATAGAAAATTCCAAAAGTGAGGAGCGACGTACTTGTAGCTCATGTAGGAAACGTCTTTCTCGGATCATGTACTTGAAGTACTTTTGGATATTAATACACGAGAGAGAGACTAGCAACAGAATTAGTGATTTTTTAAAATTTATTTATTTTTTACTATTTGTACACCGTACGTCAGTGCTTCTGTAGTTTATTAAAGTTTCTTGAATCTTGATTATTGTTGATTTTTCTTGTGTCTCACACCCACTGAGTGTTTCATCCGCATTTGTTTGATAGTCAACATGATTATGCAAAATCCAGAACATGAAAGCTGGTGGCAGGATGCAGATCGGGCGATTCTGAGACATTTTGGGGACTTTCCTTATAAAAATGCCCTCGATGAGAATCTCAGATAAGTATCGGAGATATTCGCTCTACTGAGTCATATTCCACTTTTTATATGCAAGTAAGATTTTATAATCAGGGTTTCAAAGTGCAGCTGTCCTTGTTTATCGTGATATAGATGTAACTTCATGTTTTAAGTCAAAGTAAAGACATGAGCTTATTGATTAAGGTAAATCAGCAAATTAACTCAAATTAAATGGAAAAAAAAAGCAGCATTCTCACAATGTCCCTCAGTGGAAATAGTCTGATTAGAATAAACATGCGGCCTGAAGTGCTTGGGGAAGTCATTCTTTAGTATCCTGTTATTGAAAGGACGTTTTCTGCACTGCATCGTGCCAAGTACAGCAAAGCTACAGGAATCTGTCTTAAAGTGACAAACATGCACGAGATAGAAAAACAGATGCTGACACAAGATGACTGATGGAACACAGCGGAATCAAAACAGTAGAAAGTGACTGTAGTTCATGTTCCTACTAAATAAATAAACAGTCTGTCCAAATACAGGAAGGAGCTCTGCTCTGTGTGAAGCCAAACTATCTATACTGCCCTCTAGTGGAGGAATGCACTAACCGCTCCTCACTCAAATCCTCCGAGGTGCGACAGGAATGAAGCTTTAGGATGAATGAAGGGCTTTATGATGTATTTTTAATTTACTGGTTTCATCTTGAACAGAACACAATTCAATCTAAAGACCTGAGGATGCAGGAGTTTGAAAATATTTCAAATTTAAATTACATTTTAATCTGCAGGTTTGAATAAAATTCAGAAATTGTAAGACTCCTTTAGAAAAATAAAAAAATATTGTATTCTTGTTAATTTATTTGTTTGTACCGTAAATAAAAAGGAAGCGTGTTCTGACTGATTGAACTTTGAAGGTGCACCAGCAGTGAAAGATGTCAAGTGAGAACAGCAGATTCAAGGTGCACTGGTTTCAGGGGGGAAGTCGTTCATGGTAGATTAGTAACATGAAGAGACCTGATGACTCAGTGACATTTGGACAGAACGTAGTCCACCAGTAGAAATACCACATGCTTTATTTCCCCTTTAGAGTTGTGGTAAAGAGAGGAACAAGAAGAACAGGGAGGAGGTTTACACTCACAACAAGAAAAGAATCAGCGTTATCTGGTTTATGAGACAACACTTCCCAGAAGAGACCTTTCCCAAAATTCAACTTTATTTTTAACTTGTTCTCTTGCACAATCTTCTAGTCGCGACCTTTTAAGCTGCTCGCCTGGACCATGTTGGGTCTAGGTAACATTTTTAACACCATTTTATATTCTGTGGGCTTTAAAAAAAAAAAAAAAAATGTTGGTTTCATATTTCTGCTTTCTTTTTGTTGATTGGTTTCAATCAGGCTGCAAACATAAGGATTTAATCCGTTTCCATCCCTGTGCAACGTTACCTTTACCTACATCCTCTATGTGGGATCACTTCCTCCATCTGATTCCAGAATGAGCCAGAAACACTTCAGTCAGGAGATCTCGGCTTCGTGTGAGGCCCTGATTTGTAAGTATTCAAATGTTGTAACACATATAAATAAATTGAAAATACACAGTGAGTCATACAATCTCTGTCAGATCATTGTGTGATGAAATTCAAAAACTGCAAGTACAAGTATTTACATTCCTGCAGGAAACTTTTTGATTTATCTTGTGTTGGACTCACTTGAGTTTGTGGTTTTTTTTTGGGATTTGTGTCTCAGTTATTTGCACTTTACATGTGTTACTTCCTGTTTTATTTTGTACTTGCATGTGTTTTTCACGCTGCTTCACTTCCTGTCTCTCGCTCTGCCGCTGATGAGTTTAACCTGGTCTTCATCATGTGGAGTCTTCATCACCGCTCAGTGATGAAGGGACAGAATGGTTTCACCTCATCTGAAGGTTCGGTCACTGGTAAACCTTCTCTGAGATTCAAATCTTTTTTAAAGCTCCAAACTTTCAAACATTTATTTATATTTATGATGAAACTTTAAACAATTTTAGTGTCAAAACTTCGGAATCGTTCCGGGAGAAATCGAACGCAGTTTGTAAAGATGGACGACGACACTTCACAACACTTCGCGCCACTGTGCAGAAATGAAACCAAAGTAAACCGGACACGGGGGCCGCCATCTTGCTCTGTTGTTGTCGTTTGGACGAGTCATTGGACAACGTCAGTCTCAGGACATTTCACCCTGTTTTTAATGCTTGTTTTTATATTTTATTTTGTAAAGATTCCTCCGTGTGTTCGATCCCAGGGAGACTGCGGAGGCCACTTGTTTGGCTGCACCGTCAACGAATGTGAAAACATTTAGTCACGATGTGAAACCCGTGGACTTCATCAGTCACTGACCTCGTTGAGAACAGAGTGATTCCTGCAAACGCAGCGTTGCAAAGCTCTCGTGTGTTCAGCTGATGTTGTGACTCCTCAGACGTGTTGTGTCTTTCCATCACACTTGAGACGGGACTTTCACTTTTGGTTTGTTTCTGGGTAAAGATAAGAACACATGTTTATTACACATGTCAAATTCCACTGAATGTGGAAACTGAATGAGAACATGGTGGTGGGGTTCCCCAGGAGTACTTCTTGGATATATTCAGCCTCTGTTACCGTTACAGATGATTAGGTCTCTGTATGTATGTGTGTGTGTGCATTTTGTGTGTGTGGTTGGCAACAGTATTTACTTTGAAGTTTAAGTAGTAATACTGGTAGTAGAAGTGATATTCTCTCAGGGGGCTTGGATTTTACCCCAAACTTCTCCCTCTGAAACATAATGTGAAAGGGAAACACCCCTGATAACCCCCCCACTGCACTGAAAAGTGAATTTAATGTTCGTCTGTAGTTGAGAAGTCAATTTCATATTTTAGTTTTAAAGAAGAAGATACAATTCCTCATAATAAACAAACATGCAAACATTTCTCCTCCTCCTTAATGTGACTCTTCATGTCACATTATTTTATAACAAAGAACAGAATAAACAGTTTGTGCAGAAGTTTCGACACCTGACTGAGTCAATATTTAGCCTGGAGATGGAAACAATGCAAAGTCAGTGCAGAAGCTGAGGTGAACCTGGTTCTGTAGCAGGACGCTGATTTCTCACGGTCTCATGACCTCAGTCTGCTGTGGATGTGAAGTAGCCGAGACAAGTGCGATGACAATAAATGACCCTCGGATCTGTTGATCAACATTTTCACATGTATCTGGAAGCGGAATCATTTTCTGTTGGATGTGCAGGTTTTATAAAGAGGCTGTTGATCCGGCTGCAGCTACTTCCCTCGCCCGATGAGTCGCTTCTCCCCTGAAACACTTCCCTCAGTCTCTGCAGATGAACCAGCTGCTGAGTCCGTCTTCGTCCAGAGGACATGTGGAGGACGTGGCGGGCTCTGTCTCATGAACAAAGGTAGATGAACACATCGTCTGTGAGCCGTTTGCTTTAATATCACTTTTATCTCGTGCACGACAACTTTGCACCAGAGAGGCGTCTTCTTGTTCTCTTTCATTTTAATGGAATTTCATTTATCACATTTATTTACACATCTGAGATTCTTTTACAGTCGAATCTGTTCAATTTACAGTTTTTATATTTTATTTATTAATTGCATCACCTTGCATTTAATCTCAGAATTCTTTTCACTTTGATGTCTTATTTCTGGTTTTACTCATTTCTCTCTTTTGGGATTTTATTGTTTTATTTTGAAGCAACATTTGCTTTAGCATTTCTTTATTTTGTCTTTACTTCAACTTGCAAATGTATGAGACGTACGGCCATGCTTCCTCAGTTCCTGTTATTATTGTTGTGCTCTGTGTGTGGAGGAGGTGGGTGGCGAAGCTTTATTGTTTTTCACTTTGTGTTTTTTTAATGAAAGGTGATATTTAAGATTAACTCTGGTAGATTTAACACGATGAGCAGGAGGCCCAGGGGAAATCTGCACTAAGTGTGAAATTGAAATGTTAAATCAAAGGGTAATTAATGAATTTTCACTGAACTGATCGCTGTTAAACTTGACTTCAGTCTCTAACATGCACCTCAGCTACTTTACAAAAGACCCTGTCAGCACCTTCCAGGTTTCAAACCAGTGAATTAATCAAAAACACATTTTTCCAGTTATTGTCTGTAAATCCACATGGTGACATTTCTCCTCTCTGCCTCACTGCAGCACCCAGGGACCAACTCCAGCTCTGATCACACTGCCTTGCTCAAAAGCATCTGAGCAGCAACAATAACATGCCTCAGTTCAATATCACTGCAAACCGCAACTTCTGCAGTAAACACAAAGTTAGATTTACATCTCTGTGGACACCCCCCCCCCCCCCGACTGTCAGAACTGAACTTTCTTATCGCTGTTGTCTTGGAATGTATTTGAGCTGTTGCACAGGATTGTATTAAACGTTGCAGTGGCCACTGAAAGTCAAGTGTTGAACTCATTCTTTTGTCATGCAGCTTAAACCGGGTTGAAGTGCTCCAGGTGCAAACTCTTTATGTCTCTGTGGCCTTTAGCTTTGACTAACATCAGTACTGTGACATTAAACACACACATTCACACACCTACACAAGGATTTGCATCTGCCCAGCACCGCCTCCTGGAGTATAAAGTAAAAACATCATTGTGCTCTAATATAGTTTATGCATCACATGGGTTTGAACTCTTATGGTTCAGCTCCTGAGGCCTAATGTGAACATCTATCTCTTAACACTCAGAGTTAATCACATTTGGAGTTGATGTAATTATTAAGCCTGAGCTCCGAGGGGCTGCACAGGCACCGTATGACTCATTCAGCTTCAAACAAATACGCTCTCTGCTGGAACTTTCTGAAAACCCCGAAATGAGCTGTGTGAAAGTGTGATAAGGGTCTTTTGAAAGGTCTCATAAAACACAATGGATCAGGTTTTGAGTAAATGTTTAAAAAAAAAAAAATCTCTGAGCAAACAGGAGCTTTGTTTTATGTTTGACACGTGGAGGTTGTTTAAGTTCCATATCTCTACTTTCTTTTCTGTCATTTCCTCAACAAAAGGTTAAATTATTATTTTTTTTTAACTTGAAACTAACTGAATTATTTTTAATTTGACTTTGATTTCCTGTTGATGTTCAGTGTTACATATTCATAGCAGAAGCTTGGATGTGGTGGAAAGGTACGACCATACAGCTCAAAGGGTCTAAACCACATCCTTACTCACACTGCAGGCGATGACGCCTTCGCTGTGACACAGGCTGAACCCTGTTCCGCTAAACGCTCTCACACAGACACCAGCAGTGACTCAGACAGCCGGCTCACTGGCACTATTTCAACTTAGATCAATAGGAACAGGTAAGACTGTTGCTTTTTTAAAAATGTGTTAAAAGGAGAGAGAACAGAAAAAGTTAGTTTGGGCACTTTTAGAAATGGATTACCTCGTGAGTGTGACTGGTTAAAGTTGTTGCTTGTTAATGACTGTGTTTCAAACCTTTGTGTATTTGATAAATCTTTCTTTTGACTTTGTTTTTTTAACCACTGATCATTTTATAACAGATATTTCCATGTCCAGTTTCAGCTGCTGTGTTTCCTCTCGTTGGAGAAGCTGAAAACTGTGGGTCGTCCCCATGGCTCTTAAAACTGTTTTCTTACTGTTACTGTGGGACGTCTCTTTGTTGATCCCCTGTGGTGAGTTGACTTATCCAATTCTATCATTTCATTTTAATTCCTAATCCAGTTTAAGACTAACTTTAAATTCAAGTTTCACCCCAAAAAAATGAGTTTCTCAACCTCAGATATATTTGGAGTTTCTCTTGGTGACCGAGAAATTAACAAGCGTATGAATGTTCACACTTCATTTCATTTTTGCTTCAGTCACGTCTTTGTACAATGTCACCTGCTCGACCGACTACCAGACTGAAGTGAATTGCTCCTGTTCAGGAATAACCACGTATCCCATCAAAGTGAACGTCAGCTGCAGGTACAACATCTCCATCTTCTCTGTTGATGTTTATTTCTGTATGTGGCTTCATCATCGTACCTGGAGCTCAGAGGGCATCGGAAAAACACTGCAAGATGCTGAGCTGATGTTTGACCTCCACAGTGAAGCTGAATTTAATATTAATACCCTTCACTCGTGTGATAATGTAAAAGTGATCTCATGTGAATTATCAATGGTTTAAGTCGAAGCGTCAGATTTTGCATTTTGCATTTTTCAGCTTCTTTATGCGTCAGCGCCTGCGATTTTCATAAATGACTCCTCGGATTACTTGAATTTGTTGTGATGAGCAAGATTACAGAAAAACAAATGAAGGGGTTTGACCGAAATGGAGTGGAAGGGTGTGGTCTATGGTTCAGGGAAGAACCCGTTAAATCTAATTAAATGTCATCGTGTGACATTCTACTCACTTAAAGGTTCAGTGTGTAGAATTTAGTGATATCGAGTGTTGCAGCTGAACACCCCTCACCCCCCTCACCCCCCTCTCCTTCCAAATATGAAGAAGAACCTGTGGTAAACTTTAATTGTCAGAAAAACTCAGAAGGTGTTTAGTTTGTCCAGTCTGGACTAATGTAAAAAACACGGCGGCCTCCGTAGAGAGGGTCCCCTCGATGTAAATATAAAGTATTTAAATATAAAGGGCCTTTTCTGGGGTAAAGAAAACTATAATTCACATAATTTAGATTAAACGAACCAGTGAGAACATCATGAGGATTATTCTACATTAAATTTCTGCCGTTAGTTCCTTCTCAGCTAAATCTCACACACTGGACCTTTAAATAATCCCTTTATTTCTCCAGCAATATGTAAAATGTTCCGCTTCCTTCCTCCTCAAAAGGATTTGTAGTTTTTCTCTCTCCTCATACATGTTGTTATAAAAATCTGGTGGTAATCTGAATCCAGGCAATCACACAGAGTCATGGACGAAGGTATTAAATCATTTGGGAGATTAATCACCAATGAATGCAGCTGCCTTGCACGGCTCCCGCTCTGAAATGTTCCTTGCTGCGGACATGTCCCCCCTGCTGGACCACCACGGATTATAACGCACAGTGTTTCTGGTGCAGGGACGAAGAAGTGGCTGAAGGCAGCTGTGAAATCCACTGGCCTCGGTCCTGGTGCGTGATGAACCTGATGAACCTCCATGAAGTTGCATTCGTCGGGGTCATGTGCACCACGAATGCCAGGCACCAGGCTGATAATGAGATAATGGCGGAGACCGTGTCATCCAGCTGGGATTTGAGCATCTCGGGTAAGTTCGATTTAAAAACCTGACGTGGTTTTTCATATCTCACCAACTGAACAGATAAGAAGTCAACACAGGCATTTCAAAATGTCACAAACAACAGTGGCATTTACAGTGCGTCACTTCTGACGTGTTTAGTGCTGACACATGAGTTCAGTCACATCGAGTGTTGAAGTGTCATGTTGCAGCGTAACACCCCTCACCCTCCTCCATGTAAATATAAAGTCTTGAAATATAAAGTATTTAAATATAAAGTATTTAAATATAAAGGGTCTTTTCTGGGGTGAAGAAAACTACAGTTCATACAATTTAGATTAAATGAACGAGTGAAAACATCATGAGGATTATTCCACATTAAATTTCTGCCAATAGTTCCCTCTCACCTAAATCTCACACACTGGATGTTTAAGATGATTTCTAATGTTATTTCTTTTTTTTTTACACATTTAGATACTGAAATAAAATAATACCAGAGCAAAAAGATCAAATCAGACCAAATGGTAGAAAAGCAAATTCCTCCACCGAGGCCCCACATCAGTTTTAAATTCACGAGATCCACAATGTTTTACCAAATAGCCTGATTTTTCTTTTTCCCATCAACAACCACCAGAATTTACTCTCTTGAGAAATCACTGGATTCTGCCCCCTGACCCAGATCGGCACCAGAAGCCTGGTAGATTCATGGTAGTTAGAAAGAACACCAGTCATTTGTTCTGTGCTCTAACGAGTTCTCATAGAGATAAGAGCAAGTTGCAAACACCCACCAGTTGGCTTTAGCCACATTCAGACAAAAGCTAAAAATATCGTCTCTTAATGGCGTACGTGCGTTTCCTTTTAACAGTGAAACCTAAGACTCCTTCCAACGTTCGAGTGACATACACTGACGGACTCTACAACGTCTCCTGGGTCAACCACAACCCAGAAGACAGCCTCCAGTACAGGGTGCGCATAAGAGAGACCAAAGATCTGTCAAAGGTTTGAAAACACAAACAGAAAGTGATAAAGATGCTGTTGCAGTTTGTTATGAGTAAAGTTTCTCCACTGACGACTCCCATGCAAACTTCCCTGACAGCCTCCGGTTCATCCCCTTCTCATCACGGAGTCCCAGTACATCCTGCTGCACCACAGCAAACTCCAGCCGGGTGTCAACTACACTGTGGACGTTCAGGCCAAAATGGCTCCTGGCCATCTTTATCAGGGTCCGTGGAGCGAGTGGAGCGCTGCAGTGGCGTGGAGAATGGCAGGAGGAGCTTCAGTGGGAGTTGAAGGTAAAAGAACAAAACCAACTTGGAAGCAGTCGCATCGTCAACTTTGTCACGATAAATCTTTTCATGATTTGTCTGTTTTCTTTCCACACATGTGCAGGGATTTATGGATATTGTTGGTTCTTCCTCCTCCCCATCTTTCTTGTCTTCTGCATCCTTTTGTGGTATTTCCAAAAACAGTGAGTATTGTTCACACCGGAGTTGCTTTGTTTTTCTTCAGCGTGTGTTGGATTTGGGCTCCGAACCTCGGCCCCTTCAGAACTTTACAGGAGACATATTTCACCTTTTTCTTTCCTCTAGTGTGTTCAATAAGTTTTTTATGTTTTCTGAACATTAGAGCATGAAAACCTTTTTAAAACATTCACGCATGAGCTCAAAAACTTCTTTTCTTTGCATATTCAAACTGGTGCTCCCTGATTGAGCTCATCCCGACTACTCCTACGATTCCTACAACTACCTCTTGGAGAAACCTGCAGAAACTCTTACATCCAGAAACCAAACATTAATTATCATAGACATAAAACATGTACATTGTGTTTAGCGTTTAATTTCCTTTTAAACTTGCACACAACTGAATCTAAATCAATTTTACATGCAATCTCTGCTGTGTGAAAGCAGCTTCAGACTCATGTTCCCCCGGCACTTTGTTTTCCTGTAAATGGAGAGCATGCGTCGACACATTCTTGGCATCGCCTCCCACAAGTAGAGAAACCACTGCAGCATTGTATGTGCACGTTGCACTGAAATGGCTAAAAGACATAGGAAGTCTTGCAGAGCAGAGTCAGAGTACTGAGAACACCATCACGTTACAAGAAGTCACATATCATCAGATGCTATCTTGAGTGAGCCACATTTAATGGGTTACATCACTAAAGGATTCTTATTTAAAAACAATGTTAGCATATGCAATGTGCTCATTTTCTGGTGATGTTGTGCATTTTACTGCATTGAGGTGTTTTACTATATTGTTTTACCACCAGGAGCAAAGTACAGTCCGGCAATAAACCTGTAAAAAGGGAACTTTCCCACCACGTCGGTGCTGTTATAGATTGATTTCATGTGTAAAACTGAATTATCCTGAATCCATGAAGAATTATATTATACAGAGCCACTGAAGATAACTGTCGACAACCTTAAATGTCACCTGCTGTTTTAAAAAACACTAGATGATGACTACATGAATATCTCCACAATACTCTAGATTCACTATTTGTTAGCTGACAGCAAATCATGTCTGACCTGTGACTTACGTCTGTGGTCCCTGCAGATTTACTCAGATTAACCACACTTGTATAACATAACTATGACAGTCATGCTCCAAACACACAGAGTCTGATACAAGTTCATATTTTCACTGTAAACTCCCACGAAATGTCAGAAACAGGAGAAAAGGGTCAAAGTTGATTGAAATTAGAGTAAATGTTGTTTATTATTCTATATTGAGTCATCACATGTTACGCGTTCACTCATTTTCAGTCAAAGCTGTGAATGGGCCGCGTGTCTTCAGCTTCACTGCATAGCAACTCACATTAATGTCATTTTTCAGTATCAGAATTACTGGTGATGATTCATAAAGCTGCGGCCTTTGGTCGCCACCTATATGAAAACTGCCTCAGCACCTTTGAGTTTTTTTAAAAGTAATTTCTCTGTTTCTTTTCTTCCTCTGAAATCGTTTGGTATTGTTTCAGGTTTTGGCCGAAGAGACTCCAGATGGTGACGTTCATCCCAAGAGCAAACGTGTTTTTCGAACCTCTGTACCACGACCATGGAGGAAACTTCAAGGTAATGTTCTGTATTTATACTTTAGTGTTGACGACCTCTCACGTGCTTTACATTAGTTTTACCATCCACCCATTCAGACACATTCATACACTTCACCGGCTCTTTCTCTGTTGTGCATCGCTCCTACACCGTCGACACAGTCGTCAGGGGAAACTTGGGGTTCGGTATCTTCGCCCTCAGCAATGCGGAATGGGGCAGATGGGGATCAAACTGGCGGTCCTCTATGGTTAGAGGACGACACGCTCTACCTCCTGAGCCATAGCCAAGAAAGCAAAATAAACTCAGCGGAGTGTAATTTCCAAAATGAACCAACAGGTGTTGCCAAAGACGGGACTTTTCAGCACATCTGGCCTGAGTTGGCAGGGATTCCCCCTTCACGCACATGTGGGCCCCTGATGATGAGTGTGACTCATGTGCAGGGGCTTCAAGAGGTTTCTCATCTCTGTGACACGCTGCGGTTTGATATTTTTACTCCCCAGTGGAAAATTCCCCTGCTATAATTGTTTTCACGTCTTTCATGTGGCTTCGTGTCAGTCTTAAAATAATATTCGTTGGATATGAGCACTAATTATAATGATGATTTTTTTTTTTTTTTTTTCCACCATTGTTTCATTTCCCCTGATGTAAAATCTTCCCTCGGTTTTACACCCAAACAGACGAGTACTGAAAAAACACTTGAATGTCAGAATGGTGGGCACCGCTAAAGGTCTGCGTTAGAACAAGATTCTTAAAATAGTTTAACTCTGCCCCCAAAAGATAAACGACCACAGTGACCACCCAGAAACAGGTATGGCATTTTAAGCAGCTGAAACTACATCATGTTCTCAGGGTCGAAGAGTCACAGGAGAAAAATACTTTCCCCAACTTGTTTATCAGCCAGATTAAAGTGTTTACTGTATAATTCCATTATTAAGAGCTGTCTATGAATCCTACTTATCTTAAAGTTGTGATCTGGATATTTATCTTGGGATTAAGCTGAATAGAAATAGCATTAAATACATCTAGTTTTATTTTAAATGGTAATTTAATCATAATTGTTTTTATACGTTTTAAACACCCCCTGCTATATACTGGTATTGTTTACAGTTATTGAGGTATTCTTTCAAAAATACTGGCAGTATTGCATTTCAGTACGGCTCAGTACAAGTAAACCTCGAGTGTGGGATTTATGTGCAGTTACAAAGAATTTCCAGCAGAGTGTGCTACTACGGCAGATAACCTGGAGAAGGTTGAGGCTGTGAAAGGGGAAGAAGCAGAGAGATGATAAAGTACAGAAGAGACCTGTTGCACAAAGTTATCTGTCAGACGCAAACATAGAATTCATCTATAAAAGCAGTGTAAAGAAAAACATGTGGGAAACGAGAGAGAGCAGCGTGAAATGAAAATGATATCAGAAAGTTTTAAAAGTGCTTCTGGCCGTATAATGACTCGTGAAAGAAAAGCAATCGTCCCTCTGTTTGTTTTATACGTGAACAATATAAAACACGGAGGTGAAGTCATGAAGGACCTGCTGCAAACCAGTTTAGTTTATGGATTTGATCCCGAAGCTGCGCGGCTTCTTTCGTAGTTTCACCAACACTTTTTATAAACTGATGAGAGACCGAGATTTAGTCCCCGATGTTTAAATACATTCAAACGCTGGACGAGGCTATTAAAATACTTTATTACCCTCCAGTCTTTTCATCGCAATGAGTAGTTCATACTCACCTTCTTATGCATCTTCTACATGATTAGTGCAATCCTGTTTGCAAAACTATCTAATCAGGTGTTTTGTTTGTGTTGAACATCGTATCTTCAGGATCATTTCGATAAACCCAACCAGACGAAATGTTTGGGCTGTTATCATCTTTCTCTCGTGGGGCTTGTGTTTCCTCAGCGGATCGGAGGCGACTCGGTGACGCTGACAGTTTTTTTCCGTCAGGATGTGGTGACGTGAGCATCGAGAGTGTGGTTCACGCTTATCTGGTCTTCACCTTTCTGCATGTAGGCCAAGCATGGCTGCAGAAGATTCACGCTTAATAAGCAGCTGTGACGCCGTGTGTGTTTGTGGGGAGAGATGTTCCTTAAGAGTTCACCGTTACATACATACTTAGATTTTCCTGCAGTATGTGCAAAAGGAGGTTTTTACTAAGAACGTGTTCTGAGGTGTGTGATAATGAGGAATAATGGATTCTAACCTTGAATGTGTTATTTCCCTTATTGTAATAACATGTATTGTAACTGCTACTAAAAGTGTTTAGATCCTTTTTAAAATCTTCAAGTAGTAAAAAACCACAATTTCCTGCTTGAGGAGCTGGAAGGTGCTGGTGGGTGGGGGAACATTTGGCCACCAAGCATTACTTCCTGCCCCCGCTTTCCACCCCTGGACGAGCAGTAGACGAGCCGCAGAGACGTTGGATAAATCTATTCAGAGTCTCCAATTAATTGAACATCAGTCTCTCTTCATATTCCTGTAAACATTCCCGGGCCAGCGGTTCTATGGATGTAGACTCTGGGTTAATGTCTTTCATTTGCTGTGTTGCAGGAGTGGGTGAAGCCTTTATTCAGCGAGTGTGATTACCTGAGGATCGACTCTCACCTTCAACTGATGAACGAGAAGCAGCACGACGTCCCTCAACGGAGCGAGGAGAAGAAAAGCTTCAGAGAGGACGATGAGACGAGTAATGGCGGTCGCTTCCTCCACGTGCTGCGGCCTCAGAGCAACCTGCTGCTGCACTTCCCGGGCGACGGCAGCTCGCAGGGCACCGGCCACTCAGCCGGACACGTCTCCATCCACACGGTAACCCTGTCCGGAGAGGAGTATGAGGAGGACGTCATGTCGCAGAGCTCCGCAAACACCCTCAGGAGCTACCACGATGGAGAAAGCTTTGGTTCGTTCCAAGAGGTCGACAGAGAGCATGCTGGGTACGACTTAGAGGAACCTCAGCTGGACAGACAAAGAGAGATGTTGCAAGAGCATGAAAACAAAATATCCAACGAGTTATCAGAAGTGGGGAATATAAACTTTCAGCCGCTCGCTGAGTTCAATGAGCCGGAGAGGATTTCACTTGACTCCTTCGCCTTAAACGAGGAGGACGGCTACCCTTGTGTGGACTTGGACACCATTGACAGCGGTTTTGCGGAGTGCAGCAGCCCGGGGGCGTCGGACTCAGACACAGCAGAGCAGATGGACTCCAATTTATTCCAGGAGCAAAAATACTCAAATTCAAACTACGTGAAGCAGTGGATGATATGTAACACTATTCAAGAGGACGCCAGCAACTCAGACAATGAACTACGTGAAACACAGTGATATTATTATTGTTATTACTTTAATAATAATAGCGTTTATGCAGGACGGCTCGTCGCAAACAACAAAGACACTTTTCATTTTTACAGACGGAGTTCTGTGGGACGTGCATTTAAAACACGGACATTGTTGTTGGTGTTCGTTAGTTCATCGTGAAATGTTGAACTGTGCACTTTGTATAATGTGTATATAGTCAGCGTCTCTTGTTTTAGAATCGTTTTAAAAAATGCTTTGAAAACAGTCTGTCCCTACATTTCTCTTAATCAAATGCAACAGTGCATTAACAGGTCATAACCAAGCAATGAGCGTCTGTAATCTTTTGCGTTTGACCCTCCAGACTTCTTACTCATGCAACACAGGATCAAAGCTCTGCATCTTTGATTTGTGCAGAATGTTTTTGTCTCTTCAAACTCTCGTGCTTCGACTTGCACAGTGCATGTGTGCTGCCTTATCAAGATGTCTGATAACGTTCTTTATGAATGTCCTTTATCTGTCATCACTGTAACCTTCCGAGCTTCTACGTGCAGTGTAGCTCCCCTCTTAACGTGAGATAGTGATTATTGCTCTGGTATATTTTTATCATTTCTCCTCTTTCATTAAATTTCAATTCGTGTAGTACATGCACAACTATGAAGGGGCAACTGCAGGAGGTCACCACTGAACTGGGAAAAGACGAAAATGCAGATCTTTAACTATTTTTGCCTTTTCTCAGAGAATAATTCATGGTCTTGATGATTTGAGGAATAGTTAAGGAACTGATGTAAGAGTGATATCTGGTGCAGCTTCATTGAATTGAAGGGAACTATTGGGCCTCTGCAGTGGTATGAGATGTACTTTTCATTCTGATGTGTTGCTTTGTTGCTTTGTTTGTTAGCAGGACAATGCTTGAACGAACTTCCACTAAATTTTGGTGCAAGGGTGAGACCTGGACTTGGTGCAGATGTGGATGAAATTTTCAATCATCACATTTTGTCTGTTTTCTCTGTAAATACTGAGTTGGATTTTAATGTTGTTCTTGTTGATGTTATTTTGGGGGATGTTGGCTTCTCCCCCGTGCTCTGTTTGCTCAGTCTGTGCCTGCAGATGTCAAAATAAAGGAAAGAATGATGATTAGTGAAGCTGATACAAATTCTTCCAGAGCGGAAAAACCAGCAACATGGGAGATTTTGGATTTTACACCAAACTCATCAAAACACCATCCTTTGGAAGAGTGACCTCTCTGGAGGAGAAGCTGAAACTTATTTAAAAAAACAGAATATTAAAATATTAAAAAAAATATTTTAATATTTACAGTAACTAAAATAAATTAATAATTTACCTTAACAAAAAAAAAAACCTGAGAGAGATCCAGAAATGAGACAAAAAATGACAACGCAGAGGTTTCACTTCCTGAGATGTATCTGATAATAAATCAAACCTTCATCTCACTCACTGCGTGAGCCACCACTAGCAGCAGGGCAGCCCCTCAGGTAACAGCACATTTCCATTCTCTACCATCATGACAGCTTTCCTTCTCTTTTTCTAAAAGATAAACTTAACATGTTGTTAAATTGTTGTGTATTATTTGACATTAATTCTTGCTACCGGAATAATAGATGCGTTGAATTACCGTAGCAGCGGATACACATTTAATTCAAGACGAATGCTGACTGAAGAGATGTTTGACTCTTGTCCGACAGAGTGATACTCGTCTCCATAGAAACATGAAGTGTCCGCAGCTCCTGTTCGTGTGTTGGTGCTCCAGCATCCTGGCTGTGAGCAGCTGCATCACAGGTAAGGCTCAGCTCTCTGGACACTGAGAGGATTCAACAAGGCAGCTCACAACAGATTTCAACTTCTCCCCATCTTAGTGTGCAGGGCTGATGTCACATAGTTCCAACGTACACTCATCAGCCACAGAGCGGGGGGGGGGGATGTTGAAATGTCAAGTTTTTATTTATTATTATTATTATTCATCGTTGAGTAATACTTTTATGACCTCTACAGTCAGAACTTAACATTTACTCAAAAGAAGAATAAGACTCACTGTGCTTGAGTTCTTACATTTTATGAAACTTTATTCTTCTGCATTTATAATAAACATGGTAATATTAACTAAACTACATTTATCTGATGACTGGAGCTGCTTCTGATCATTTCACAGCCAGATGTATCTGTCGTGACCCTGCAGAGAGGGCCCGACCCCCTCCAGACCAAACTACCCAATGAAATACTGTAAAATGTTCTTTATGCCCTGATTAATGAGCAGCATCCAAATCTACATGATATTTTCTCCCTCACTTGTAGTTGATGAATATTCATGTGTGTCTGCCTACTGGGACAAAGTCGAATGTGAGTTGAACATCACTGGTGATCCTGTGGCACAGTCCCACACCAACTACAGCCTGAGGTTCACCGGGTAACTGCACGTCTTCCACATTTGACCAGTAAATGTAAATGTTGAATTCTCAATGTTTGTGTTTGTGCATCACAAAGTAAGTAAAGTTTGTGGTGTATTTTGTTATTTTAGCGATCGTGAGATGTACACTTGTCCACTCATCCTGAAGAAACACACTTACGGTTGTGTCTGCAAAGTCTACGAGGGAACCATTTTCAAAAGTTATACTCAGTACAACGTGCAGCTGTGTAATGACTCCGGCTGCCATTCACTCATCAAGGAATTTTATCCATCAGAGAACAGTGAGTATGATTTTATTGTACTTCACTGACTGTATGTGACTGAAGTGTGTGTGTGTGTGTGTGTTTGCACGTGTGTGTGTTGATGTTTGTATTCTTTTCAATGCATGGATGTAGTTGTGTGTATCTGATATCTGGGGACTGTGACTGACACACACATGTAGAAAGCATTTTCCTGCCTGTTAATGTAAAATGTTCTGGCTGCAACTACTGTTTTTGCAGTATTTATTTACATGCTTATATTTTTCTAAGCATGTTTCAAGTATAATTTAGGAGAGATACTCAACAACACACATTAGGCAGTAGCTTTGTACTGAACGTGGTGGACAGACTTTTGATCAATGTTTGTATTCAGTTCAGCTGACACCCCCGAAGGAAGTTGAAGTCCAACAAGCACCAAACGTTTTCAACGTCACCTGGAGAAGTGGGTATGAAGACCATAAGTATTTGGTCAATGACCTCAAATACGAACTCCTTCTCCAGAAATCTCCCAACAGTAAGAGCCAGGTGAGATCCACTGTCACAAACAGACAAACTGTGACACCGTGTTTCGCCGCAGATAAAAAAATCTGACTGACGACGATTCTGATTGTTTCCTCAGAAACATCACCCGCAGGGGACCCTCCAATCGATTTCACGGTCACAACTTGATGCAGATGCTACATACTGCACTCGAGTGAGGTCAAAGCCTTCTAATGAGGGTTACAAAGCAATTTGGAGTGAATGGAGTCCACAGATATGCTGGAAAAATGAAGTGCAAAAAGGTAAAACTATACTTTTTCATTAGTGCAGAGTCTTCATGGCACTCACTATGAATGATGAAATATCAGAGGTCTGCTTCCTCTCAATTATACATATATTGAGATCTAGAGTTGCTATTGTATCTGTGTGAAAGACATGAGTCAGTCTAAAAACCCAGTCTTTTCAAAATACTGCTTTTGTGGAATTACCGTGAAAACCCTCAAATGTCAGCCACCTAATAGCCAAACCTCTGACTCACTGAAGCTGAATTATTTACTGACTCTCTCTCAGAACAAGAAAACATAATAATGACTTTGACCAGATCTCTGGTCCCGGTGTGTGTGATTGTGGGAGTTCTGCTGCTTGTGTTCCACATCCCTGCTGCAAGGTAATTTATGGGCACTTTTTCAAAATATCAACTTTATCACGTTCAGTGTTTTCTGATCTGGATAATAATTGTACAATTTGCTTTGATTGACAGAACGAAGATAAAAACTCTGTCCCACACGCCATCGCCAGCTCCTTTCTTTCAACCTCTGTTCCAACAACATGAAGGAAACCTCCAGGTGAGGCGGCAGAGCAATAACCAAAATATTCTAAATATCCCAGATCTGCCCCTTTGTCCACATTTGAGCCAAATTTTAGTTTGTGTTTTTTGCATCATCCAGCTGACAAACAAACAGACGGCTGTGTGAATGGTGTGTGATTGCAAATCGCTGCGTGTAGAAGCGTCACATGTGCATGAATGGGTTATGAATCTTGCACGATGCGAATATTCTACAAATACACATTTTGCGCTGTACAAACTAACAATACTGACACGCTGATGCTGAGTGGGTGTGATGTGCAACCAGGCTGATGAGAGAAATGCAAGTGTTCTGTCGTGCAACATATTTTGATTTCAATGTTATTAACACTAACATCAAGCTACTGCTGACGACCCGCCTGGTCCATGAGTAGAGACACTCAACCCCGCAGGTGTTAGTTGTTACTGTGTGTGTTCTGTGTAACATGTGAGAAGAAGTGATGCAGCTGTTTCCAGCCTTATGGTTATTTCTGTCCATATATTTGCAGGAATGGCTCTCACCTCAGGGTAAATTTGCACTAACGTACAAAACTGAGGAGATCTTGATAACCGATGCTGTGACTGTTGAACCGAAACCCAAAACCAAGGACCCAGAGGAGAACCAGAACGTCTGCAACACTGCAGTAACACAACTTACATTCCCTCAATGTCAAACCTCCTACGTCGGCTTACCTGGGATGCACATGGCGCCCCAGTTAACCCCAATAACCACGATCTGTCCTGCAGGGGACACACCTTACACTCGGCTGCCCGGCTCTGTCTGGGGTTTCAGCATCAGGGAAGAACAAGTAATGTTGTCTCCGCCTCAGCACGTCTTCAAGAGCAGCTGCTCTGACTCTGGTTGCAGCTTCGAGGACCTGACCCAAAGCCCAGAGTGCAGTTTACCAAACAGTCCCGTTGAGGCCAGTTCGCCGCCACGTTACTGTAAAGATTACTGCATCCTCAACAAAACAGCAGAGGGTGTGGTTCCTGTTCTAGTGTCCAAATGAAAGAAGACCACGTCTTTCGTTTGTGGTCATATAGAAACGATCCTGTTCACTGGTGGCACTGATCAGTGGCTGGTTATTTCAGGAGCGGGTCAAAATCCGGCCTTTATGCATGTGGCCAAACAATGTTGTATTTGCCTTGTTTGTATTTTTGGTCCGTTTCTACTTTTTGGCTGGGCACTCTCTCCACATTGAAGCTGATGACCTCTGACATCATGTCCAGGGGCCGAGGGTTTAAAGAGCGAGGGTGAATGTGGGCAAAACCGGGGACAACCCACAAAAGTGTGGCATCGACCCCGGTGCTCGGCGTCGACTCGTTAGACATGGATCGTATCTTCTGTGGGTGCCCGCCGGGTCCCATTTGCTCTGACAAAGACCTGAAGGAGACAAACAACTGGTGCGATAAGATATGAGGACTTGTTTAGATTTTTGGACTTGAGAAAAATACTCGTAGATAATTGCTGGGTCGTCCTCCACCTTCCAATTATTGGAAGGTTGATGAAAGAGTGTTTTTTCTTTAGGGAGGCCAAAAGGCACTGCTACTGAAATAAAGGGGATGAATCAAATGCTTCTGAATTTGCTGTACAGTATTTCCTTAAGGGGATCAATAAAGAATATGAGAATGTTTCTCTGTTACTTTCTTATTCAATAATAGTTTACCATCGATGCAGAGCCAAACTCTTGCCTAGAATGAACTAGATATATTCTGTGTACATTCATTTGTCATGCTCTTTGTATTCTTTGGGTCAGAATAGAACATTTAATTGATGCAGTGGTTAACACTGTCACTGGTTCTGGTTTCCAACTTGGGTTCAGGTCTTTTTCATGCACTTGTTTACAGTCCATGAGTTTGCATGTTCTCCCTGTGTCTTCTTGGGTTTTCTTTAGATTCTCCAGCTTCCTCCCACAGTTTAAACGCATGCAGCTTAGGTCTGGAATAAGGCTAACCTCAACCTGCATGACAGTTAATGCACACACTCCACTTAGAAAAACCACTTATATTTCATTCTTAGCTGGCTGAAGAAGAGCCTGAGACTTATTTTACACCTCTGCAGATAAATCCACGGTTGTAAAATCCCAGTGAGCCAACAGACATCACATCTACAGGAAACCTAGAAGAAGAAAGCACTTTTTAAAAAATATTTATATTTCTAAATGATGCCAAATGTTATATATATACTTCTTAATCTCCACTGTTAAAGACTTTG